ACAGAGAAGAAAGGGAAGGGCAAAGGAGCGCAGGTGTGTCCCTGTGTTTACTATAGTAGGATATTCAGTAAAAAAGGCTTGATGCTTTAACTATGAAAGGTTTGCCTCCTTGATAGCTTTCTCATCAATCTTCTGTCAGCTTCTAATATAAATAAACTCTGGGGTTCATCCCTCATTTGTTGCTTATCTGGACAGATTTTTTTTAACCTATCCATCTGTGTTTAATCTGCTTTGTCTCTCTCCACATTTTATACATTCCATTTTCTATTCATCTGCCAGGTTACCTTAAGAATGTCTCTCAGCTAGCAACTTTCAGTGACTTCCTATTTTTTACTGAACTGTCAGTTATCTCATTTTGACATTAAGTACCTGGCCTGCCTTTTTATGCTTTTGTCCTCATTTCTCTTCTCTGTCAGCCAAACAGAACTACCCCTCTTCTCACCTTGAATCTGTCCCATCTTTTTGCAGTAACCCAGGACTTGAGATTAGGAAATAGAGTTGAAGTCTAAACTTGTTCACTTACTGACTTTCAGAATGCAGGATTTTGTCATTATTATTTGCTTGATTTGTTCCATTTTGTACTGTTAAAAGCAAAAAGGGAAAAAAATAGGTGTTATGATATTTTAGTAAAATTTCAGATATCAACTGTGCAGATGAACAAATGTTAACTAGTGTTACACAAGGCTACTTCACCAGAGAATTCATTTATTTTGCTTAGCAATCTCCATTCCTTATCTTTTAAGAATATATACATATATGAAGCTACACGACTATGCCAGTTGTCGGGTTAGGGTGCAGACCCTTCAAACCCATTGAACAGACTGGGTCCCCAGGCCCCTCACACGCCAGGCTGGGTTCCCAGACCCCTCACATGCAGGTCCATGATAGGTAATTGGGAAAGATCCTGGGAGCCGTTGGCAGACGACATGAGCTCAGCACTCAGCAGCAGCTTACAGGTTCGGCGGTAGCAGCAGCAGCCTCTCAGGGCATCCCAGGGACACTGACAGTAACAGCTTGCAGCAACAGCCTCCAGCAGCAGTGGTGGCCTGGCCTCCCCATGCGCCCTCCCCTTGTGTGGGACATCCCAGGGGCGGGGGGCACCGCGGATCAGAGCCACTCATCCTTTATACTTAAGTCCATAACCCAGGACACCTGGGTGCACATGCTCAATTACATTAGACAATAACCAAGGAGCACCTGGGCTCATGTACCTGTTTACATTAAATGCTTGGCAAAATTCTGAACATCTGAGGGGTCCTGACCATTTTCCTATATTTTCCTCAACAACATATTTATCAGCTTTTAAAATAATTTTGTAAATTCCAAAGTTGTCCTTTGGAATTTTTTGGAATTTTTCTGCAGTACTTTATACAGTATATAAAATTTGTCTTTTTATATGCCTCACACTCTCTATATTCTATTCCCAGTGCCTAGTATAGTTTTTTCAGTGTATTCAGAATTCAATTAATGGTTTTTGGATAGATGCCAGTATTTTCTCCCCTAGGTGAACCCTATTGCATTTAAATATTATTAGATTCTCAGAATAAAATGTTTTACATATAATTTTCAGAAACATCTGTTCTTCAAGTGAGATAAGCATTCTAGGTAAATTCGTCATCATACTTTGAGTGAAAGAGTAAGGAAGAGCTTAAATGAGTGATCAAGAGAGAGTAAAGTTTTTATGTATTTTCAACCAATCTGTAAAATACAAGCATGGCCATCTGTGTATTAATTTTTTATTATTTTAATATGTTTAAAAATTCTATAAAATCTTTAAAATTTTTAATTTTACATAATTTTTAAATGGATAAAGTATATGATTCAGAAAGTTTAACTAATGTTAAAAGAGATTAAGTAAAAAATCTCCTTCCTTTTCCTGTCTCATATTCACTTTGTTCCTTCCATGCCAAATGGATAACCCCTGTTAGCCATTTTTTATATATCAGTAGGGAGATATATTCTGCATGTACAAGTGAATATGGACGTGTATTTTTTTTTCTTTCTTTTTTTTTTTTTTGTCTTTTTTCCATGTCCAGCAACGGATCGCAACCCTCAGTGTCGCCCCCGTACCGGACCGGGACCGGCAACGGGATCGCAACCCTCGGTGTTGCCCCCGCGCCTCGCTCAGCCAGTGAGCGGGAACCGGTCTGTATGTGGGATCCGAACCCTCGGCGGGAGAAGCCACCGTGCTTCCCAAGCGGCGCACTAGCGCAGTGCGCCACCGGGCCTAAACAGTGAAATTTTATATTCCAACATGATTCAAGGCTTACTTAATGCATTTTACATTTGTGAAGCAGACTGTATATATCTAAAAAGGAAATTAGGTATTTTATATAGATTTTCTTTTATTTTCCTCTTTAAACTCATAGGTGTATTTCAAACTTAATATAATATATGGTGAAATACATAATTTTTTTCCTTTTAATCTAACCTTAGTGACTTTCTGTTATTTCAAAATGTTAAATGTCACTGATGCAAAGAAGATCATTTGGAATTCTGATTTAATAGAATAAAATATGTAATTGTGCAGCTGGTATGAGTTTTCAAAAGTTATAAAAATGCTTTGTTATTTGAAAAGAAAGTAGGCAGTTAAATCTGTTTTGACACACAAATACATGAAAAAGAAATTTTTTTGAGGAAGCTTCAGTGTACTTAATTTTGTAGAATCTTCTAACTGTGCCAGAGGTATTTCCAATTATAGAATAAATAGATTAAAAATAAAGAATGCAGTTTACTTCTAATTAAAGCTGAAGTCATGAATTGTTATACTTGATGGAGCAGCTGATGTGACTTATGGCTCTTTACTGAGGAAAACAAAACCAATTTAGCTCATTTATATCACAAGTTCTACAGTGTTCAAACTGTGTATGTGTGTGTATGTAGTTCTTTTATTCAAGGAAAATTTCTGAAAGTGCGTGAAATTGATTTTTTTTTTTCTTTTGGCAACTCGCCGGTATGGGATCTGAACCCCTGACCTTGGTATTATCTCTAAACAGCTGAGCTAACTGGCTGGACCAAAAATTGATTTTAATTACCTCTGGAGTACGAGTGATAGGAAAACGTTTTACTTTAATTTTATATCTTGTTATACTGTTTTAAATTTTTACAATGTGCCATCTAAATTTTTATAGAAAAAAGTCAATAAAAATTAAAGGTACTCTTCTATCTTAATGTAACTTGTTCCCATACAGATTCTATTTAGAATCTGTTTTCCAGGATCAAAATATATTATAGTACAAGAAAACAGAAAAAGTGATTAATTAGTTTATTTGGTGACTTGTATTTATCTTTCTTAGAAGCTTTAGTCTGAAGCTGGAGATATAATTTGCTTTTCCTTTCAGCCGTCCTGTCTTCTCTTTAGGTCCTTTCCTCCTTCCCTCCATCTCCCTCTCTATCACTGTTAGTCCCTATTGTGTAGTGTTTTCTGACACCAATGAGTTTTTGACTATATCTGGTTATCCACCAATTCAGTTCTGAAGGTAACTGTAGTAGTTAGTGTCAGACCCACCCTCCCTCCATGAAGATTAAGAGCTCAGTCCTCCAAGGGTGCCCCCACTGCAGATGCCAGCCACAAATGTGTTGTGCAGGCTATCCATATTTCTGCCTGACTGTTTACAAATTTGGGGGTTTCACAATCTCTCCCTCAGGTTCAATAAGTTGCTATAATGACTCACAGGACTCAAGAAAGCACCTCGCTTACTATTACTGACTAAAGTTTGGTAAAGGAGAGATAGTTTTTGTCAGCATCCATAAATCTCATAAGATCTTAAGTTTTTAGAACCAAATCCTTTGGATACTCTACATTAGTCTCTTCTTTTAAACATGAGGAGTCTGAATCTTAATGGATATACTTTTATAGAATCACCCAGAAAGCATCCATAAATCTCATAAGATCTTAAGTTTTTAGAACCAAATCCTTTGGATACTCTACATTAGTCCCTTCTTTTAAACATGAGGAGTCTGAATCTTAATGGATATACTTTTATAGAATCACCCAGAAATTAGTAGCAGATCTAGGACTAGAATCTTGAAATCTATATGACCTATTTGGTGTCCTTTAAATGGTAACAATTCTTTGTTGTTCGTTCAACATCTATGTGTTTAATAGACAATAATTTAGTAACAAATGGGAGGCAACATAGTTCGATAGAGCAGAAGTTCCCCAATGGTCTTATACGAGGCCCACTGGCTTCTTCAGTGGTGACTGAAGCCTCCAGCTTCAAATACACCCTTCATTAATCCCAAGACTATTTTCTGTCTGATATAAAAAAACAATGGGAGAGACCACAGTGGCACACTGTCTTTAGAGTCAGACAAACGAGGGAGGTAAATCCTACCTTTGCCATTTATTAATAAAGTCACCTTCTTGAACCTCTTCTTTGTCATCTCTTCTGAGGACTGAATTATGTCATGAATGTGAGTTGCCTATTCCAGGGATGGCACACATTAAATTATTAAATAGCAAAATGAATAAATACGTGTTTCTCTTTGTACAACTGATGCCATCTTTGATACCTTCTCTGTGCTACTGTTACCCTTCTCTGAATCTTAAGTGTCTTGTGGTTGGTCTTTGGACGTAACAGTTCATGTACTCATTCGTTCAGGAGTCACTCAAGCACCTAATTGTGTACCTCTTGTACAACCAAACGCTATAAGCAAAGTGAATGAAATAATATACTAATATTTTCTAAGATCTGGAACTTGCACATGGTAGGTGCTATGTAGTAGATGTTTGTTGAATGAAGAAATAGATTTTACCTGAGAGAAATTTATGTCAATCTAAGGGTAGTAGTAAAGTTGTTCATAAAATGCTTTGTGAATATCAAGATGGGAGTGATTTATTCTCCCATTCCTACCACCACATTGAGGAAGGGAACAATTACACAGAAAAAGTTAGATTGAATATAATTGAGTCTTGAAAGGAGATGAAGGTGAAATCATCATAACCACATCATAAGTGGAGCAAAGAGTATTGACAAAGACAATGACATATAATTGATATGGGTCATGTGCGAGAAGGTAAGATTTGGTTGGGAAGGTAAGCTGTTGGAAGGTTGTCTTGAGGTGTTAATGCCATTTTAGAGTATTGATTGGAAAGCCAGGCAAGATTGATACATAGGGATGTCTCAGTGCTTTGTGCCACTGAACTGAGAATGCTTTCTGGCTTTTCTTTGTTATTTGATCATTCTTTCTCTAGGTTTTCAGAAGGCCCTGAATAATTTATTTTTATTTTTGTTTGTTATCTAGGCTACTGCTCCCCTCCATTAGCATGGGCAGTTAAGATTTTACTTTGTAGAGCCATAATATATACATTTTTTCCATTTATGAAGAATCATTGATAAAACATGAAAGTGTCATTACTTGAACAAATTATAGCAATTTAGTAGTTCATATTTCTGTATTTGATTTCTTGCCGCAACAGAGCTAACCAGAGCTTCCAGGCTCTGCAGTTCTGAGTCATACACTTCATGGTTATCTTTTTGCCTCCACAGAAATAGAAAAGTTTCAAAAAGGAGAAGGAAAGGATGAAGAAAAGTACATTGATGTGGTGATTAATAAGAACATGAAGCTGGGACAGAAAGTGTTAATTCCTGTAAAACAGTTCCCTAAGGTAAGACAGTGAGGTCTACACTGCAGGTGTGTTAACCTTAATCACAAGGGAGTAGATGTTTATATTCTTTCTGATGTCTTCTAGAGATGTTTTCTCTTAGTACCCCCCCCCCCAAAGTTAATTAAAAATTTTAGTGAATCTAGTGATTCTGTCTTTTCTGTTTGGCTTGGTGAGTTATGGAGCCCTAAAAAATAGCTTATGAGTCATATGAGTGATGTGACTTTGGGCAATGTATTTAAACTTTTCCACTCAATTTGCTCATTTGTAGTATGGAGTTGGATGGTTAAGAATTAACTAAGATTATCCCTGTTAAATGCTTAGTGCAGTTCTTGGCACATAAATATTCAAAATTTTTGTTTTCCTTTTTCTTTCTTTTGAGTGTTCATATACATGATTCATACATACTGTTGTATAAATCAATAGTCCGTTTCTTTTTGTTGCTGAATAATAGTTCATTACCTGAATATACCACAGTTTATCCATTTGCCAAGGCAATTTTCAGTTTTGAGCTGTTATAAATTAAGTTGCTGTGAACATTTTTTGTTCAAGTTATTTTGCAACCATATATTTCCATTTCTCTTGGGTAACTACGTAGTATTGAAATTGCCATGTGTTTAGTTTTGCAGAGAATTGCTATATTTTTTTTCCCCAAGCAGTTGTAACTTGTATTATTTTCACAAACAATATGTGCAAGTTGTGGTTGCTTTATATCTTCATCAGTATTTGATGCTGTGAGTCTTTTTTGTTTTAGCCATTTTGATGGTTTATTATCTTTTTCTGGTGTTAATATGCATTTCCCTGATGATTAATGATTTATTATGATTCTTCAGGTACTTATTGGCTGTTCATATATCTTCTATTGTAAAGTGTCTGTTCAGATCTTTTGCCTATTTCTAAATGGGCTGCATGGTTTTTTATCTGAGTTGTAGGAGCTTTTTATATATCCTAGATAACAAGTCTTTAGTTAGACACATATTTTACAAATATTTTGCCCAGTCTATGGCTTGCCTATTATTTTCTTAATATTCTTGGATAAGCAGAAGTTTTTAATTTTGATTATATCTAATGTATCAGGTTTTCTTTTATGGTTATTGCCTTCTGTGAACCAGGAAATCTTTGCCCACCTCAAGGAAATATTAGAGTTCTTCATAAGTTATGAAGATATTCTACTGTGTTTTCTCTAAAACCTTTATTATTTTAGCTTTTACTTTTAGGTCTATGATACAACTTAAATGAGTTTTTGTGTATGGTGTGAGATAGAGGGTCAAATTCATTTTTTTCCCCATATGAATATCCAGTTTTTCCAGCACTATTTGTTGAAAGATGTTTTACCCCCACATGATTATTTTGTCACCTTTGATGAAAATTAGATGACCATGTAAGTAGGGGTATGTTTCTGAGCTTTCTACTTTTCTCTCTTAATATATTTATAGATCCTTATGGCCGGTATCACACTGTCTTAATTACTATAGCTTAAATTAGTAATGTAATCCCTCCTGCTTTGTTCTTCTTTTTCAGAGATTGCTTAGATATTCTTCATCCTTTGCTTTTCCATATAAATTTAAGAATTTGTTAATTTTTACAGAACTATCTGCTGAGATTATGATTTCAATTGCATTGAATCTGTTGAAAAATTGAGGGAGATTTGACATCTTAACAATATATTAAGTTTTCCATCTCTTGAATATGGTATATCTGTCCATTCATTTAGATCTTTTTAAAGTTTTATCAGCAGTGTTTTGTACTTTTTAGGGTAAGGATCTTATAATTTTTTTGTTAAACTTATTCTTAAATATTTTATGGTTTTTGACATTATTGTAAATTGAATATTTAAATATTTTTATTTTCCAATGTTCTTCTTCTAATACAAAATTATTTATATTAACCTTATCTTCTGCTACCTTGCTTATTTTACTTATTAGTTCTAGTAAGCTGTTTTGTAGATTCCTTAGGATTTGTTACGTACAAGATCATATCATCTGCCTAAACTTTTACTTCTTTTATGCCTTTTATTTATTTCATTGTATTATTGTATTGGCTGATATCTCCAGCATAATGCTGAGTATGAGTGGTGAGAGTAGGAATCCTTTCCTTGTTCCCAGTTAAGGAGGAAAGCATACAGTATTTTAACCATGAAGAACAATATCAGTTGTAGGTATTTTGTAGATGACATTTATTAGGTAAAGGAAATTTCTGTTTCAGCCTTTTCTCTTTTTTTTTCTTTTCTTTTTTTTCCCCAGCAGCTGACTGGTGTGGGGATCTTAACTCTTCACCTTGTTGTCCTAACACCATGCTCCAACCAACTGAGCTAACTGGCCAGCCCTGTTTCAGTTTTGCTGTTTTGATCCTGAATGGGTGGTGAATTTTGTTGAATGTTTCTTTTTGCATCTATTGAAATGAATATGGTGCTTTTTTTCTTTTCTTTTTTTTCCCCAGCAGCTGACTGGTGTGGGGATCTTAACTCTTCACCTTGTTGTCCTAACACCATGCTCTAACCAACTGAGCTAACTGGCCAGCCCTGTTTCAGTTTTGCTGTTTTGAGCCTGAATGGGTGGTGAATTTTGTTGAATGTTTCTTTTTGCATCTATTGAAATGAATATGGTGTATTTACTCCTTTATGCTGTTTATATAGTGCATTTTAATGATTGATTTTCTTAAATCTTTTTTGTATTTCTGGATTAAACCCTACTTGGTAATGACATATTATCCTTTTTATATATTGGTGTATTCGGTTGCATCTGCATACATGAGTGATACCTAGGGGCTACCAGCCATCAGTGAACTCAGTAGCATATGAAAAGGCAGCACTGTGTACTTTTGTAAGCCCCCCCCCCCCCCCCCCCCCCCCCCCCCCCCCCCCCCCCCCCCCCCCCCCCCCCCCCCCCCCCCCCCCCCCCCCCCCCCCCCCCCCCC